AACCTCAACCAAACAAGAATATACTGATATTTTGTCACAGTTATAGGTAAGTGGATGTAAGAATGATTGACTTCATGAGGTCAGCTTAGTCTTTGCTGCTTGGATTTGTGTCCATCTCCTCCTTTGCCATGCTCACAAGAACAGGATGTGAGAGCACGCTTACAAGGCAACCAGGGAGTTACGTAATTTATGAGCCAAATAAAAAATCCAGGCAGAAATGGATGCCTGAAGACACTTTACCAAATGATTCAGCCATTCTTCTTTAGGCAAGAGAGGAAAAGTAAATCATAAAGCCGCGTCCTCGAGGTGGATGAAAGACACAGAGTGGCTTTGTGTTAATATGAGTGGAGCTACTACTGTGGCACCTTAATGTGAAGAAATGAAGCTCTTCCTTAGCTGTTTTACTCAAGCTTGAAAAATATTTTGGGTTTTGTATGTAGAATCTATTTAGCTCATGAAAGAGGAGAACAAGAGGTAGTTCAGTCTCATTTCTGGACTTCTTTAACCCAGACCAAAAAGTGAATAATCTGAGCTAACAGGTGAAAGGCAAAGCTAAACAAATTCAAAATGTAATTCAGTCAGAATCTTTTCACAGTCTTTCACCTCTAGAATAATTTATGTACAATTTTAGTGGACCTGTTATCACTTGAAGCCTTTAAATCAAGACTGAACAACTCCAAAAATAAGAACTGCTGTACCTTAAACAGTTAAAGATACAATGTTGACATTATTAAGACAGGGCATTTAGACTTCATTATACATAGTCCTTTCTAAGTCTATGTCTAGTTGCACAAGCCTGGAGTAATGGGTCTTCCTGTTGTAATCCAGCTGTACTTTTAGTCCCTTGAATTTTTCCATGATGCTTAAATTAAGATGGAAAGTTACTTATTATGACTAAAAAAAATATATGTAATTGGTCTGAGGCTCGAAAATGAAAGGTAATCCTTGACTGTGATTTTGCTTTTACCCTTCTGGGTTCATGTCCCAGTATCATAGTGCGTGTTTTTATCAAACAATTGACATTAAATGCTTCTTCTTGAGTTACTTTAAAAGAAATTATGTTATCAGCTCCTTCATGTTTGCTTTCTCCTCTTCCTTGCTTTCCATCATATTTGGTATTTTGTGCAGTGCAGATGGTGCACTCCGTTATGGTCAAAACTGTTCTCTGAAGGATGACACATGGACACCATATAGAAGCAGAATGTATTTTATTTATTGTAGACTGGGCCATACACAATTTAGAGAGAGGAAAAAATGCAAGCCATTGGGTTCTGTTTTATCAACAGAGTGTAGAGAAACAGAAGATAATTTCCCCTCATTTTCAAAGCTCTTTAGGTCAGCTTCAGGAGAAAATGAACGAAATCTAGTGGAATCAGTGGAATCTAGTGGAAGGTGTCCCTGCCCACGGCAGGGGGGTTGGAACTAGCTTTAAAGTCCTTTCCAACCCAAAACATTTTATGATTCTATGAAACTTGATTGTAATGGACCTGCAGATGAACACTATTTCCCATTTACTGCCAAACCAGTATTGGCTACAAAAAAAAAAATAAATCTTAATATTTGACCATAAGGAACCTCTTTAACAGGCATTCTGGATGCAAGGCCTACACGTAAACCCTTGAATATGGTAACACCTCTAGCCAGCTACCAAATGCTTTTGCAAATTCCTGGCTAGAAAGTGTCTATTTCTCAACAAAACTTGTTAAGAAATTATATGCCACATACAGATAACACCTAGAACATTTTTCAATGCCACAATAGTGTGTTTTTCATTAACCTCTGTAGGTCAGTGTACAGGGAGATGTGGAAGCTCAAAGGACCATCCAGGAGATTTCAGCCATGGTCAATGGCTACAGAAACAATGGTGCCAAAGGAAGACTTAAGTATTCCCTGACCAACAAGAAGCTACCAACTCTACACGTCAAGAAATAGTTCAACAGAACAGTCCCCTCAGTGGCAATGCACACCCTCACTTGTGTCCTCTCAATGGTTTCAGTATAACTAGCTACTGAGTCAGGGAACTGAGGAAAAGAAAGTTTTTGTTTTCTTTGCAGTTCACTTCCCCAAGGGATTCTTAAGTCTGTGCTGCTACCAGAAGAAATGCTTGCCAAGGCTTGCTGACCATGCGTCTGTACAGATCCTTGGAATGTCTCTTCAGTTTTGCCAAGCCAGGTTAGCTCAAGCCACAATCAAACTGCTACTAAACTAAAGTGCTTGACTGATCATAGCTAAGCAGTGAGGGGCATAACTTCCAACAAAGCAGTAGTAACAACTATTGCAAACAGTGCCATCATAAACTGCCATGGTCATTCCCAAATCCCACTTGGCAATCAGAGGGTAAATACTGAGGATAGAGACGCAACATCAGCAAGTAGCATCATCTGCATAGAAAAACCTGCAAGATACGTAAAGTGGGATTTACGTATAGGATTTGGAAAGAATATCTCAAAAGGCTTATTTTGATTATAAGAGATGGAGTACAGAGTTTCTGTAAATCCTTCAGAAGGAAAGGTAATTCAGAGGTATAGCTTGCTGGCCCAAAGCAAGAGCTCAGTTCTTTGAATGCTTAGTTCAGCAAGTGTCTCAGGTAGAGATAGCACTGGTTACCTTAAACCACTTGACATACGATTTGTATCAGCAATTCTTCTATGCTTTAGCAATCATGATTTTATCACGATAAGGTCAAGGCAGTTGGACATAGAAGAAGCTAAGTTTCAGTTTATTCTCCTAGGCTCTGAACCAAGTTGACATCGGTTTAACATGAGAGAAATTATGCCTGGTGGTCCATAAAACAAGTTCTTCCTCTAATCAAGTACTATTTGAAAGCAGAAAAATCTCACATCCCCAAACAATATTATTCATCCATAGTAGAAACCCATTAGTGTAAATCATCTCAATGCAGCCGTTTACAAGATATAGGAGATAATGGTTTGGCTGCAGAAATCTCTGGAGGAGGAAAATGCTGTGAAAGAAGTGGAGGAACATGAAATCCTGTTGTTGAAATGTCTGATGGTTCTCATGTACTTCTAGAGGGTCCACATCTCACTATTCTGCAACCCGCTATTTACAAACTGAGTGAAAGAATCCTGCATGAAAAACTGTCTGTAGGCAAGGCAGGTTGTATCCTACACAGTTGCTCTAATCAGTAGAATTGAGACTGAATTAAATCCCAACCTACTTAATTTTGTTTATGTTTCTAATACTTCCATCTACCTTAATATCCAGAAGTAGGTTCAAACTAAACTAACAGATTTTTTTTATTCCTGTTTTGCCCAAGATACTAGATCTATTCAGATAATCACTTTTTAAAAATCCGTTTTTTTTAAAGCTAAGAACTATAAAAAAATGCCTGAAGCACTACATTACCTTTCCCACTTTTCTAATGACATCTCCTCAAAGCTCATGGGATGACTGATGGTCTGTAAACAGGAGAAAGTTGTTCTGACCCCTATACATACCTGAGTGCTCCTGCTAAAAGATGCAACTTGGTGATGACTACTTTTCTCTTTTAAAAAAAGCATGCTGCACATTTACTTTTGCTTTGTAGCTGTAAGAGACCTTTCACAAAAGCTAGTTTCTCTCAAGTGATTTATTTCCTTGCAAAATACAATCTACAATATAAAATACAACCAGCATATTTTCCTCTAGTCCCTTTCAGCTACTGTACTATTAAACACTACTGTAAAGTAAATGTAAATATTTCAGATGGAAAACATGAGTTAGTTCGGATGACATTCCCTACAAATGCCTCAATTATTTTGCAGTAGAAAAACTTAACAGAGATTCAGAGTATTTATTTTGTTTTAAAGTTCATAGGAACTATTATACCAGAAGACAGAGTAAATGCTCCAACCCAAGACAGATCTTCTACTGGCTCCCCCTGGGGAAAGCACGACAGAGGAGTTAGTATCATTAGCCAGCAGGAGAGCTACCTCATTTCAGAGACCTTGTTCTATCAGCATCAGTGATGACTTACAATGGCAAAGCATTTAATATTAACATGTGAACTCTGTCAAGTGCTTTCTAAAATGTCAGTGTCCCTGTCCCCCCCCATTTACAGTCTATTATTTTATAGATACCGTATTATAAAAGTGTTATGAAGTTATGTTATAAGTAGTTATTAATGCCTTTGCTACAGGCTGAATGTGTAAGAGGTGATCGAGCAACTGGCTGTTACGGGATGCATATTTGGGATAGATCAAACTAGTTTTTCTAACGCACCTTGCCAGTATTTTATTTCAAAGAAGTGACAAGATGTTGGCCTCAACAGCTGTAGCACTGATGGTTCAAGAGCCAGCTAAGTTGGTAAACAGAGAAGTTTTCAGACTGAGAGAAGCAAGGGGATGGCAAGAGGAGTACAAGCATTATGTACTTAATTATACTTTGCCTCCTCTTAGACTATAATCACCATTGGATGGACACAGGGTGTTTAAAAGTCTTTTACATTTACTTCACATTCATAACGTCCCTGTTGGAAGCAGGTAGTCATTTTGGTATTGGAGGAATAACTGTAGAAATGTCATTCCGCGCAAAGTAGCTCAGATCTACCTCCAGGAAGTTTCGCTACGCATATCCCAACACTTGCTTTTCAAGAGGGTGTAATCATTTACATGTTATTCTTAAGCAGAGAAAGTTTTAACAGCAGATTAGTAACATAAACTGACAAGTTATATGTGCCTGTCAACAATGCACAAAGGAGCTGTTGCTGTCTCTGGCCTATAACAGTTGCCATGTTAAAAATACTCCGTTTTTCTTCATTAAAAAAAACCCCATCATCTGAAGTCAGTAAGAGATCATGGGTATCTATGAGCATTTTGTAAATTTTCGACACTCAGCTGGCTTCAAGTGTTAACGGCTTTAAAAACAGGAGAACAAAACCCCAAGTTTATGAATGTCTGACAACAAACTGTGTAATCCCAGCGCATCGTTGTCCGCGTTGCTAAATCTGGTCTTGATACCACGGCGTTAACATCCATCAGGTGCAACTGCTGCATGCCGCTTCAGTCATTCTGTGGCTTTCTGTGGAAGTATGTGCAGATCTTCCTCATTGAAACTGAAGTGGTTGCAGCCTAGAAAAAAAACGACAAAACCAACAAGAAACGTTTCTAGGCTAACAGTTCACATACTGCAGGAGTCTAAAAGTCACCCTCCATCAATGCTCCAGTTTGATAACTTCCTAAATAAGACAGTGAATGAAAGGTTCTTTAGTATAATCTGTCTCACAGATAAGCAGCTTACTACCTACAGGAAGCACTGGCTGAAACCTCGAGTCGTCTTACTGCCATAGGAGAAGCACTCTGGCTACAGTTCCAGCTTCCCTACAGCAGATAAGAGGGCTGCAGGTTTCCGAGATGTAGCAGACCAACAAATGCTGCTGGTATTCCAGGCACCTCCTCAGGCTTCGAATACAACACAGGAGCGTCCTGAAATCTGAACTAGAGAGTACTGGGCAGAAAAGATAATTGTTCTATAGTAATTTTTCTCCAGGACAAATCTTCCTGTCTTGTGTTTAAACACGTACAACATGAAGCACAAGTAGTTGTAGGTTTACTATAACCAAGATCTCTTGGTACAATCACAATATGAAGATTTCAGCTGCTATGTGTAACTTAAGGAGTGGTGGCTTGCCCACTTCACATCTGATAGAAGTGCTGGAAGAGGTGAAATCAGGTAAGACATGAGATAATTTACCAAAATAAGCCTTAATGACAGCAACAACCTCTAGCATCAGATACTCAACTGAGAGTAAAGCTAAAATTTGATGAGTGAAAATTTACCTAATGTTTATTGAAATAAGACTCAATCAAAGACACTGTAGAACTCAGATTCTAGTTTCAGACATGAGTCCAGTTTGGTTTGTTTTAAAAAATGTAATTATTGTTCCTCAGTTTGCATGTTAAACCCTCATGCTTTTTTAGCTGCTTTATAAGCTTAACTTTCAGATCCTAGGATGAGCTCTGTGCCAGGCTTCTTGTACATCAAAAGTAGGATTATGTAGGTCAATTCCTGTCCTCTGACTCTTTTGCAATTCCTTTGTTTTCTGCTAGTTTTCAGCTGAAGGAACTGAAGGCGTTTTTTAGCTCCATGGTTTTAACATGGGTAACAAATTATTTTGCTACCTGGGCTAGAATAAAATTTAGCTATTTCTTCCAATGCTAAAGTGGCTTTCCAGTAACATAAACAGGCAGATGTGAAGGCGAACACATAAACAGTAGATCTGCCAGGAGAGGTGCTGTCATTACTGTGTTTCTCAGAGTAGAGCTGTATTTCAGATGACAGCTACTTACATCCTTCAAATAGATGACTGGGGACTGGGAGGATCTCTGAGCTCCTGTGTGCCCCAAGTCCCTTTAAAATGAGGGACATCAACATCCTAAAAATTCTGTTCCTGCATGGAGGGGATTAGTAGATAACAGCATTAATATATCTGGCTCATTAGGCCAGAAATCATCTCTTTTGTCAATAATCAAAGGGATCGGATAATTCTTTGAATGCCTGAGCAGAAGAGAACAAGGAGAGAGTGGCAGCAAGGGATAACTTCTGTCATGACCACTGTCACTGACCATCCTACTTACAGTTTTCGGTGAAGTGGCCGCTGTCATAGCCTCTTGTCTTTTGGTACTGGGACTGCAAGATGACGGGGGGCTGTGTGACACGCTCTGGCTGCCCACTCTGCCAGTCCGGAGCTTCTCTCCCAGAGCAGACAACCAATTTTTTCTTTCAGGTGAACTATTCTCTTTATCTACTACCTCAGTGCCTTTCCCGCATGGAGATCTGAAAAGATGAGGGGGAGTTTGAACACCTGATGAATTAATATGGCTTCCAGGAAAGGAAGGCTCTTTTGGGCTGCGGCTGGACCCTTTGCGGTCGTTATCCAAGTCAGCCAGGCTGAGACAGCTTTCATCAGAAGCTTTCTGGTCTGCAGCCAAGTGACATAAATTCAGCTTGGATTTCTTAGCCGTATGGTCCAGTTCAGTCACACAGCTACAGGCCTGCAGACACTTCTGTCCCGCATCGTCCTCCTTGCTGCAGTCAAGCCGTCTCTTGGCACGCTTTTCAAACTGCGGGGCTTTAGGAGGGCAAGCGGCTTCCAGGAGACCTTGGGTGACTTCTGCCAGGGCTTTTCTAGGAGAAGGAGCCTTTTTCCCCACTTCTGGAGGAGAAGAGCATGGAGTCCTTGTAACCCAGTGTTTAATGGACATTTTGGAGGAAAGGATCAGTTTGGAAGAAGGGCGTGGGCTGGCTCCACTCTGCTTGGCTGGGGTGCAGGCTGTGGCCGTCTGGGTTTTGAGAGTGGCTGTTGGAGTGTTTGTAGACAGGGGAAGGTCTCCAGAATAAATGGGAGCACAGGCAGCTGGCCGTGGCGAGGAAACGCACGGGCTGCCCGCTGTGAAGGCCTTGGCAGGAGTGCTCTGCGGGCTGGCTGGCGGTCCTGATAGGGGAGAAAGAAGTAGTCTGATGAGGAACGCAGAACAGCAGAATAAAGACAGACCTTTTATAAACACCTCTTCCAACTAGGAGATGAATTAAGTGCTGACCCTGCTTCTCAAACACAGCTTTTTGAATTAAGAAGTTGCATAAATCCCTCTAATTTCAGTTAAAGTAGTACAAGTCCTACGTAAAATCCTGTATCGCGTTGATAAGTATAATACAGTACATTTCTGTAATGTCTGATGTCTATCCCTTCTGTAACAAGCACTCTTATGTCAGCTACAGCCAGGGGACTGACGGACAGACAAAACAGATCTTTAATCTTCCAAATTTATCTAGCCTTGCTGGAAGCCTTGCAGTGGCTCAGACCAGACAACTCTGTACTGAAACGCTGCCTGAGAGCAAGGCTGGTCCCCATCTGCACTAACATCTTTAACGGCTGCATAACTGAGCTGAGGGACAAAGGTTCTGTGAGCAGGTCCTCGGTGTTGTAATTAGCTGCGGGAAGCCTTACGCTATAATATCCTACTGTATGAATAATGCTCCTAGTCAGGCATTAATAGTTGCGTATTTTCAAGATGAAGAAAAAAAGGGAGAAGAGGAAAGGACATACTTTCAGTCTCTTGTCTTTTTGCTGGAGGATTTTCTGCGATGCTATGTTAGCATGAAGATGGTAGTTATTTACCACACCCAGGGAAATGTGAGAAATTCTTCACCTCCTGAACAAGGACTTAAATTCCAAAGAAAATAAAATATGTCATCGTAGTAAGTTATTTCTTTAAAATAAATGATTCCCAAATAGGTATTTGATAGTGGCTTTTGAGCTCACAGCTAAGAGGTAAACCCCTCTGCTTGCAAAAAAAGATGTTCTGAATACACAGCTTCTTAAAACAGTAGTCATAGATAGGGGCGTAAGGACCTCATTAATAACAGTGAGAATCATATATAGCAAAGATCTTGGTCTACAGCACTATTAGAGCAGGAGAGTTTTAATTTATTTATTTTTAGTTTTATTTCTGGCACCCTGGAACAGAGAACACATTAGTGGGCTTTCTCATTCATCTAACTTGCGGTCATGCAATTAAATAGGATAGCACCATAGTTACTCTATGCATTTCACTGCTGAGCACAAAAGTTCTAAATATTTTGCGTATACCAGGGGTTTAATCTGAACTCCTAATTCTCAGCATTAGCACTGTACTAAAAAGCACTTCATTAGAACAATGAGAAGTCTAGTGTGAATAACCTGCCATTTTCTTTAGGACGCTGGTCTGTCTCACAAATAACATGTTGAGTGAGCACTTACATGACTGTTTGATTACAAACCATACTAAGTTTCTTTTGATCCTTCCTTTTACTGTATTATCTACTATCCAAAATGCAAGTACTGGTGCATCAGAGCAAAATTAAAGAGGATCCCGTATGAATGGATCCCACTACAAATCACTCTAACACACAAAACAGAGTTAAAGGCTCCTTTCCTGATAAAATACGCTGCTTCATAACAACTTGCTTCAATCTGGACTAAGAGAAAGTAACTGCCAGGATTGGTTCTCCTAATCTTTACTTTAATGAGCACTTACAAGACAGTATCTCAGCTGGGGATTAGTTGCACTTCAAAATCTAAGCTCCTAGAGGTAGAAGAGAAGTAGCAAGCTCAGCAACTCCTGATTCCTAATGACCATCTACAAATTCATACAGCAGAAGTATTGCGTGACTAGCTGGGTATGAGCACTCTCAATGTCAAACCAGTCTGAAAGTTATACAGTGGAGACACTGGATAAGGGCAAAAAAGCTATCCTGAGAGTTGGATGGGTGTCACGATAAGAAGCAAACCCAAACTTGAGAAACATCCCCAAAACTGAGATATAGAATACGAAGATCAGGCTTTTTTGTAAGACTGCATGCATTATTCAGGCTTCTGCCAAGCCAGTTCCAAGCTGTTTCCATTCATTCTGTCATTGTGTGCAGTACAATATTGTAAATACCTGCAGTCAACCTGCATAACACCAAAGCAGGTTATTTCAGATGTTTCCTACCTCTCTATTACAAATTGTCTAGAGTGATATTATCAGTCTCCAGCTTTAAGAGACACAAATTGCCCATGCACAGGCCTGCTCTAGAAATTTCGTTACACCAAACCATAGAGAAAGTAAGTAGCACAACTTAGAGAAACCACAGAAATAATTTCCACAGAGGAAAACTTCTTGCTACACTCAACGATATAGGTCAACAGTCAATACGCAATCTCGGTCTCACAACTTATTCCACATAAACAGGTGAGGAACTAGCTAGATCTCACCCCAGCAGGTCTGAAATAGTACTTAGCTTGCCAGCTCTGAATCAGTCTCTGCAGATAACTCCTGTATTCTAA